TAAGCATTAATTTCTCTTTTGGGGTCTCCAGCGGATGGCACAACTTAGAAATCCACATCTACACCTTTTACTTAAATCAGGGAGGGAAAATCATCTAAGAAATCAAATTTTAAAGTTGATGCTGCAAAAGCAGATCCAAGAACAATGATGTTATGTGGTTCCTATCCGGAGAGACCGCTCTGCGGCCAACAGACCCAAATCCATACGCCCAGCCAGAACACCAGAGACAAATCAAAAACTATATTAGGGGTCCTTTCATTAGAATCATTACAGTTCTCGAGTTTCAAGTTTATTTAGATAAAAAAGCTGTCTTTTAATTGGAATGTCAAGGACATCGACTGTCTTTTCTATTATAATCCTTCTTTTTGAATGGACAAGGGACTATGGAAGAAATTTCAGATAGCAAATAACCCGGGTCATGTCCGTGGCTCGTAGGTTATCTTCGGTGTTGAAGAGGGTGTGCCATCTCTTGCCTCAGCTCCATGGGTTGGAGAGGCAGAGAGGGAGTCAAAGTCGTCGTCTTCCGGAAGAGACAGCGCCACATTTAGATGGGATTAACGGTAATTAGATCTAATACTACAACAACAGCCCCGTTGGATCCCACGATAGTAGGGTGTGGGTGGTTGTGTGTACGCAGACCTTTCCCTTACTCAAGAGTAGGGAGGCTCTTTCCAAGAGACCCCGGGCTCAAAAAGCATAGATAAAATAAGATCACATAGGACATATATAGCAGAGATAGCAAAAAGCACACAGAGGCCAAGAACAAAATTAAACAAACCAAAACATGGCAAGCAAAGAGCACCAGGCATACAAAGCAAACAAAGCACACAACAATTGGAGAAACAACCACTAAGCTCGGATCACCTACCCGACTACCCTAATCCTAGCTCTCCACATGCTCTTATCTAAGGTCATATCCTCATTAACGGAAATAAGTCTTAGATCCTAACTAATCACCTCCTTCCAATTCTTCCTGGGTCTATCCCTTCCCCTACTCCCACCCACCAACATAAGTCTCTCGCATCAGCACTCCTCCATCTCACAAGTCCAAACCACCACAGCCTAGCTTTTCGTAGCTTATCCTCCACAGGAGCCACGCCGACCCGTCCTCAGATAACATCATTATGAATCCTATCCATACTCATCTTCCAACTCATCCAATGTTGCATCTGCATCTCAGCCACATGCAATTGACGAGCGTGGGTTTTCTTTGAAAAATGGATAACAACAAAAATTCCACTAAAAATAGGGTCTGGAAAGGGTGTGTGTATGCAAACCATACCCCTACTCGAAAGTTGTGAACCTATTTCCAAGACAGCCTTAGGTCTTAGCCTTAGCTCAAGCACAGTCAATCTAAACCAACAAAGAAGACGTGGCACACAACACATACAAAGTTGTAGCAAAAAATAAAGAGTAAACTAAGAGCAAACTAAGATCAAAGAAAAGCGCACAGAGACATGAAGCACACAAACTTAAACTAGCAATTAGACTTCATGGCTCAAGCATAGAAAGCACACAATGTCAAAAAGCAGAAAACACTCGCACAAGAATACCACCACGACTACTCTAGTCTTAGATCTCTAGACGTTCCTAAGGTCATATCCTCGATAAGTTCCTGAAATCCTAAATCATGTCTAATCACCTCCTTCCAAGTTCCATCTCTTTCTAGGTATACCCCTTACCCCACCCCTATGGAGCTCTCTTTAGTCTTTTCTACATATACATAGGGTTGTTCAAAATCTCTATCATCAAATGGCTCAGACGATTTCTAAGCCCATCACATCTCGGCACTGGGGCCTCTACACTTATCCGCTCCACGTGCCCAAACCACCTCAACCAAACTTCTCTCAACTTATCCTCCGCATCGGCCACTCCCAGGTCCCACCCTAGGGTTTTGAAAGGTGAAAACTTACCTCGAGGCAGTGAAGCAAATGCCTTGAGGCCTAAACCTCGAGGAGGAACGAGGCAAAAGCAAAAGTTCAATTAGAATAAATAATACTAAAATAAGTAGTTTGAGGTAGCAAAAAACGCTTAATCTATAATCATGTCCTATGTAGCACTGAAACGGAGACGGGCACGGAGACGAAAAGAAACGGACACGCCGAAGCGGCTATTTTTAAAAAATGAAGAGACAAAACGTCGGGGAAATGCCAAATTTTTATACAGACACACACACACATATATATAATTTTATATATATATGTGTGTGTATATATATAGGGGGCGGTTCAGGTGAGAATGCACCTTGGTGAAAGAAATAAGAATAAAATCTAGCCTTTGGATCTGATGCATCGTGCGGCTCAGATTGCATCCTGCACTCAGATTTTGAGATAGTGCATTTTCAAAGGATTTTGATGCATTTCGACATAATGCATTTTCAAATCATTTTGGTACACCTAATTTTGATGCAATTCTGACCCTTAGATCTCACAATCTAAAGCACTAGATTCATTCTTATTTCTTTCATAAGATTGCATCAAAATTAGATGCACCAAAATGATTTGAAAATGCATCATGTCGAAATGCACCAAAATCCTTTAAAAATGCACTATCTCAAAATCTGAGTGCAGTATGCAATCTGAGCCGCACGATGCATCAGATCCAAAGGCTAGATTTTATTCTTATTTCTTTCACCAGGATGCATTCTCACCTGAACCGCCCCTATATATATATATATATATATATATATATATATATGATAGTCATTACAAAACATATTAAAGCATAAAAAGTTCAAAAGACATAGCATAAAATTTGCTGTTTTAACATATAAGGACCATAAAAACTTGACATTTTAAACTGTTTTTTTTAATTGAACAAACATACTGATTTTCAACAACTAAAATTGGAAGAAAAAGTATATGAAATTCACACAAAAAAACTGTTCTTTGTAGTCCATAAAATCCCAGAATCATACCTTTGAGATTTTCCAGTTGAGATGTCACTTGACCTACAGGTTGATTATTTGGAGAGAAGTCTTCTCCCTTTGTCGGCCATTACTTGGCGATTCTTCTTCGAACCAGCGGCTTCAGCTTCTTCTCTCACTCTTTGTTGAATGTCGATGGGTGAATAGGAGGGCAGCTGCCTTTGCTTAAGTTTCCAGGGTAGTGTAGAGGAGTGATTGGGGGATTTGGGGCCATATATTACTCCCTATAATTTGAGTAAGTTCCTAAACTTTTAAAAATTAAAAAAGACCTTATACTATCTATTCCTTGAATATTTGTCTAGTTTTGACTTTTTTCAATTAACTTTTTTCAATCCTTGACTTAAAATTAAATAAAATATATATTTTATATTAATTAGGTGAAATAATATTTTAAAAATATTTTATACAATGAATCTAATAAAACTATTTTGTATCAATATCTAATATCATTTTTACTTAATTTGAGGTCAAAGTTTACCAATTTTGACCATAAAAAGTCAAAAGTGGACAAATACTCAGGGACGGAGAGTATGTGGGAAGAGCAAAAAAAATCCTTCAAAAATATAGTTGTGTCAAATCCTTCAAAAAAAATAGTTGTGTGAGGTATTTTATTTTAAAACTAGTCTAGATAGGTTTCCTTCCTAAATACAAAACAAAAAAAGGGTGAACCTCATCTTAGAGTCCCCTAAAGTCCAAATTAGATGGTTACATGAAACAAAGTTAACAAAGATGTAATTTTAAGTGACAAATAAGTTACTCCCTCCGTCCGGAAATGTTCTTCACGTGTTGATTTGGCACGCTTATTAAAGAGTAGCAATAAAATGATATATTTTCCAAAATTCACATATTATAAACCTTTAAAGCTTCTTTTCATATTAAAAAGTAATAAAAAAGTAGATTATAGGTAAAATAGAAGGATGCGGAGTATTAATTAAAAATTATCCTGAAAGGTAGACTAAAAAAAGAAATGAGGATAATATTTTCGGGCGGACTAAAAAAGAAAATAGAAAGAATATTTTCAGACAGAGGGGGTTTGTCTTAGTTCCAACAAGAACCTCTTACAAATTATAAAACATCTCATCTTATATACACCCGAAGCCGAATCTGGTCACAATACTCTTTTGCGCCCCTATTGACTACTTAAGATTCCCTCAAAAACAAATTTTTTTCTGTGGAAGATCATGAAAGGCTCCAAACATAAATGGTTTACCATGTCCAAAACTATTGAATGCATCAAACGCGTGAACCATGGTTGTCTTCTTTAATCGTAGTAAAAGAGACTTTTCTTCAAAGGTGTATGGATTTAACAATCGTAGTAAAAGAAACTTTTCTTCTGAGATGTTTGTGATTCTAATTTTGTAATGAGATTTTTGTTTCAAGTGGGTATACATTTGGAGTGTTAATCCTTGTACGAGTATACTTTTTCTCTTTAAAGAGTCTGATTAATGAGTAAATTTCCAGTTTCAGCTCAAATTCCTAATAAAATTATGATCAACAATGTAAACATTTAATGCTTATATACATATACATATGTATAAATAATATATATATATATATATATATATATATATATATTATCTGTGTGGTATGTATGTATATATATGTATGTATGTGTCTGTATACAGAGCAGACACACACACACACACACTCTCAAAAAACAAATTTTAAAAATAACAAATAAAAGAATAAAAGAATAATTTCTAAAAAATACTACGTGTGTGCTAATCCAAAGTACAAAATTAGGAGTTCTATATGGGTGTATCTTAGGCATCCTAAGGGCTAACCTATAGCAAACTTAACAAGTTTTTTTGTCAATTTTAACATCACCAATAAGTAGAGAAAAGGTGTATTGTGTGTGAATTTATATTCATTTTTTGAAATCATAAATTTTTATACATATTTTTAATGTCTAGTTGTCTATAACCATGAATGAAGTCGTAAATTCTTATTCATATTTTTAAATCATTGATTCTTTGTAAATGACTTTTGTTTATTTATAAAAGTAAATGAATTTGAATACTTCATATATCATCCAACATCAATAATGGCAATATGCTTTGCTAGCAAAACAAATAATGCGAAAAACATTTTCTTCAATCATTGACATTTCATTAAACCATTGTCTATAAAATTTACAAAACTCAATCATCATTCATTAGCCTTTTTTTATTTAGGTCTACATTTCGGTCTACCTCTTTCTCTACCCACAATGTCACATGCATATTCACCATTTTAGCAAGATCAAAGGAGACCTTCGCGTAAATGATCTAAAGCAAGATATGATACACGATAGAGCACAATGGCATCATTTAATCAAAAAGACAAGGGCCACAAAACGGCGGTGTAATGGCTTGGGATGAAAGCCTTTCAAGAGGGAAATTCAAAACCACAGCTCCAAAAAAATGCTTTTTTTATTTGGCAAAACAATTTCTCACAGCCATTTTACTCACTATCTGTCAAACTAGAAAGATTTTGTGCAGAGTTGTGGAATCAGACCGATATGCCACGGTTGTTTATCTTTGTAACCTCCTTGGTAAGGAACTTTCGTTCTTTCATCGCCTCTGAAGCAAGATCAGAAACCTGAAAGTTAAAAAAATAACAATAGTGATGCTGAAGCAAACATGGTAGAGTTCAGAAGGGACCATAGGATGGGGGGAAATGACTTCGAGGAGTCATTTTCCCATTTTCGGTGATTTTGGGCGGAGGAATCTGGGCAGGGAGGCTGGCGGAGTGAAGGAGGGGGAGGGGTATTTTGGGCAAGTCAAACAATAATGATGCTGCAGCAAACATGGTAGAGTTAATAAGGGACCAGATTTGGTTGTGACTTTAGGGTCGGTCTGGGATGGGGGGAAATGACTTCCAAAACTCATTTTCCCATTTTCCGGTGTTTGCTTGTTCTTGAAAATAGAAGTCAACGAAAAACAAGCAATATTTGGGGGGAAATGATTTTTGGTTTTTTCGGAAGAAGACATTTTCCACCCTTCTCCAACTCCTTAGATCGAAAATCTAAACTCGGCATTTTGTATTACTCAATCCGGAAATGAACTGTCTATGCACTATTCACACACTCAAACTTTAATCACTATGGTTGCTTATTTTCACTACTCATTTCATAATATATAGTTATTTCCCCTCTTGTTTTTTAGAACCTTTTATGTAGTTTTTAAACATTTAAATTTTATTTTTCAAATTTTACGCTTATAATCAAATAAATTGGTATAGTCAAATAAATTATGGAGTATAACAAAAACTGGTTTAAATTATAGTCAAATAAATATTTAGATTTTATTTTTCAAATTTTACTCTAGTCAAAACTCTTAAACCAAAACGAGAAATTCATTTCCAGATGGAGGGAGTATATTATGGAGTATAACAAAAACTGGTTTTTTCATTTTCCATACATTCAACCAAACACCAAAAAATGAATTTATTTTCTGGAAAGTCGGTTTTCAGAAATCATTTTCTGTGTTTCCAAATGGGCCCTTAATGAAAAAAGGGGAAATCATACTTATGTGTTCGCGCTTCACGTTTGAAAATACTAGAGAATAAAAAGAAACTGAAGGGAAAAAGTGAAACCAAAATAAGTGAAAAAAACAATATACAAAAGGGATGCCTATATGGACAACTGGGCAAGCCAATAACATACCCGGGATCTAAACGAAGAAGCATCTCTACGTGGAAGCTCTTTCAGAACATCTTTCAGACCTGGGAAAAATGGAGTTTCATAAGAGATACTGGCGGCATACTGAATAATTCACTATGTTTAAGAAACTTTAATTACCAGCAGCTTGTTTTTCAATCAAAAAAGCAGAGCGAATCACGCTTCGAATTTGCTTCCCAGCTTGTCTATTGAAGTAAAAGTTTGAACAAGTTTAAATCATACAAGGTAACGCTCAATAAAACTTGAGGAATGCTCCACCAACAAAACCAAACCTCAATTTTGTCTTTCCCCGTATCATCTTCTCTTCTGCTTGCAGTGCACTCTTCTGAAATGGTTTATGCAGGTTTATTAACTTCCATCGTGACGCATAAAAAAAAGGAAGATATTTTCAACGATTGAAGGTAAATATTATTTCTGCCTCTAATAACGAAGAGAAAGAGATATTAATAAGTACTCCATTCCATACTTTTAAGTGTCCATTTTGCTTTCCCATGTAAAATGTTAACCAACAATATACAAAATTGTACAATGGATTGAAATATAAAATCTATACAACGATATTTGTTAATGAAAATGCTATTTTTCTACTCCCGTCCCATAATGTTTGTCACTAAATGTCACGCTCCGAACAACGTGCAAAATCTCATTACTTTTAAAACCATTTTGATTACAAACAAACAAAAGTTATCGAGATACCATAATAGTACTAGTGACAAACATTGTGGAACGAAGGGAGTATTATTCTTTATAATAGTTGCTAACATATTTTGTGAAACTTTTGGGTCAAAAGTTCAGAATTGAAAATGAAATTGACAGACACATATTCGATGCAGAGAGAGTTTGTTTTTCCACAATATGTGACAATAGAACAAAAACCACCTAGTTGGATCCCACGAGAGTAGTTGAGGTCTGTGACCTTGAAAAAATTGATATGCTACCTTTAGAGCAGTTAGGCAATAGGCATCCCATTGTTTAAAGAGTCAAGAAATTCATTCTTTTTTAACATATGGTGCGGCTTACACATGTTCAAAACTATATGCCTCTTTATCTGCTCCAAATGTTGGATCCTCCCAGGGGTGTTTTTAAGAAGCTGGAATTATGTTCTATAGTTTCCTGTGGGTGGAGAAAGCTTAAGACATAACAACCCACGGGGCATCCTCGGGTAAATCATGCATTCACATTGGAGGTTCATATCTCAATTCTCAACAGTCTCTTGGTAACTTGGTAAGGTTCTATATCAGAAATGCTGCAGAGGTAATCATTCATCTCTTGCAATAATTATAAAATCTGATTCTACTATTATGAAAAGGATTGAACTGCACCAAAATCTTTCCAAAAAATATAGAGCATGGAGTGTTGGCAGTGGTGATTCATATTTTTGGATTGACTGGTGGTTACCTAATAACATTTGCTTTAGTTCAACCATTGATGACTGCTAGAATGATGGAATTTGTGGTGGGGTAGAAGGAATGTCACTAATTTGATATTGAAATCCATCTCTGGAAGTTTTGGAACATCTTATTTATATCAAGAGATTCACAGATAGGAGGTGTCTGAGTCAGCCTTTTCAATATAGCTGCAATTTATGGCCTTTAAAGTGTAAAGTCTCTATTTTCTTCTTCCCCTGGAGAATGTGGAATGGATAGATAATAGATTCCATTGGACACTATCAAGTACATAATGTCCATTCAATTGGTCTCTCAATATTTATGCTGTAGAGATGAGGAGCCCATAAAACACATGCAAATGTGATTGGATCAACTCTTTTCTCTAATTTTCCTGCTTTCCCTTGAGTGGTGTAGGCACTAGGCAATGTTTGAATTTGCGTATTGCAGTTTTGAGGCATTTTTATTTCAAGGCGTGTGGAGGCGTAGCCTCAATTTTAAAGTTTAAAAATGTCCATATAAAATTTTTAAAATTGAAGAGAGAACATTTTTAACAGAATTAATCCATAAACAAAAAAAAAGTATCTTGTCAAAGTAACAGATCTCAAACATAACAATGCCTAGCATGAAACCAAAAATTTATGTACATATTATCATGTTGGGTCTGCCATTAAAACAATCTGTTTTACTAAAAACAAAAACTAAAATTTTATGATCATACCATTTTCAAGTGTGGATGATGATAAATTCGTAAGAATAAAATGTTAGCAATAAACAAATATATATGGGTAAAAACCAAATGTGTAAAAGAAGAAAAATAAAAAAATACATATCCTTCAAAGAAAATACTCCATAATACAGAGTACTCCGTAAAAAAGGGGGATAGACGACCAGAGACTAGAGCCAAAGTTACTGGGTCTGAAATTTATGAACTTACTGGGTGCGGATGCATCAGAGAAGAGAGGCGATCGAGATGCAGCACCAGTCTACTGGGAAGATCAGAGATGTCTGGTCAAAGATGAAGACTGAAGAAGAGAGGCGAGCAACTAGGGTTAGGATTTAGAAAGGTGATTTGACTTTTAAATTTTTCTAATTAAATTACTAATTTAACCCTATCTTAATTGTTTTGGTGGAAAAATTAAGTACGCCTAAGATCGCCTCATTGTGTACACCTCAGGGCTTACACAATTTTACACCATAACTGCACCGTAACTGAGAAAACCTTATTGCCTAAGGCTAGATTGCTACAGGGCCAGAATTGGACATGAGGCACGCCATATTGCGTATTGCGCAATGCAATTTAGAACAAATGAACAATGGGTGTAGGTGGGGATCACCAAGGAAGAGTACATAGCATGTTCGCACCTTAGACGACCAACCATAATTGTTAGTTTGTTACCAAGGTATAACTAACTCAAGCATTATAAGCTACCTAACAGCCAATAATTAGTATATCAAACATTCCAAATATGAACCAAGATCAAAGGGGAAAAGTAAATACCTCCAATTTCTCACTCTCTGCCTTCAAAACATCAATGGATTTTCTCAGCTCCCTGACTTGTGCATCAGCTTCCAAAAGCATGGCCTGTTAAGCAATAAACTCTACATTTCAGACAGCCCCACAGTATCAAAAGCCCTTAAATTTATGCAAAACTAGACTTGTGGCAGGTGATGCAAATTTCGATGCCCCTCAGTCAATTGTCTGTTGTATTTCTCCTTATACTGTTAGCATTGTTTCAAAGCAATATCATGAATCCTGAAACTCAAATTGACCACTTCTTTTATCTAATGAGCATTAAATTCATATTTTTCATGAAATGTTGAATCTTTTACACATTTTTCTCTTTATTATTTCATCTTTACAGTGATCCAATCATCCAACTTTATTTTGTAGAGTTGTAGTTCTTTACTAGTTTAGAGAGCTATTAATTAGTGCATTTACCATTTATGCATATAGTACATTAGTACATCTTGTATTCCATCTGTCTATGTTTCTACTATTTATGAAATGTTTCTTTTTATGATTTTATCCACCCGCGTGATGAGGAAGCCTTACCAGATCCAGCCTATTTTACTAAACTTTAACACATGATGATGCACACTGGCCAGGTCCAGCTCATTTGCTTATCAATAACAGTACAAAATTTTGCAAGAGAAGCTGATATGCAAACAGTTTACTACCTCTTCAGTAGAAAAGAGGCGCCTTGCTTTGAAATATACATATCGCCTTGGTCCTGTAGTAAATTATCAACTCTAAGGTGAATATATGGGTGAATATATGTTATGCTGAATTTATAACAAACCCTCTCAATACAAATCCAAATATAAATATAAAATTAAAGCTTAAAGGCATGGCATTGAGGATGTTTGGAAAGGAGACCTTTGGGCAATTTTTGTTTAAAAAATGCTTTTTGATGCGCAAGATTAGCCAAATGGCTATTAGAAATGTTTGATGAACTTATTGAGATGGCTTTTTAGCCTCAAAACCTGGATTACAAACATGTTATTTTTCAAGCTTTTTGGAAACATTTTTGGGTCTACAGTTTTTACCTTTTAAACTATCAAACTGACACAACAAATTCAAAAAAAACAACTACAAGTGGAGTAAACAACTGAACTAGAGAGGTTTCCAATCTCAAACTACTCACGCAAACAACTCATTTTACCAAAAAGATTTTTCGCATACAAAGACAAACATCTATAGTCTGCACGGACATCTAGCACAAACATCTAATTGCTAAGAGGTGTGTCTCAAACAAGGCCATTGTTGATGACTACAACCCTTTCTAAATAAAGCGGGGTGCAAGTGGAAAATCATCAGGTTGAGTGAGCACTGTTGGTTGTAAAACACTTACTTTTCAGGAACAGAACCCCGAGACTAAATAAAGCTGCTGTTGTGGTCAGAGGATGAGAAGCGGCAACATCAATACCCTCTGCAAATACAACTTAAGTAAACTCGCGATAATTCAGAAACAGAAAATATATCTTAATTGTTAAATAAAAATTTATGCAGGATAAACCTTTAATCTTCCCAAACGTTAAGTCCTCGTATACGTGATATTCAGCCTTAACATCTTGTAAGGTATCCTGCATCAATTTTACCACGAATTGTCATAAAGAAAGAAGCCTAACTAATATGAACCATTGGCAACACCGGTTCGAAGTCTCAACCTTAGAAAAAAAAGTCAGCACCCTTGAGGCGACTCCGAAAAAATCAGCTTTAAAGCATGCTATTGAAATGCCATTAGAGCAATCCACTAGGAAATCATTGATTGGGTTGTTTCATGTTTTGGAAAGATAGACAAAGGAAAGAAAAATTTCGAAGCTAACCATTTATACGCTCAATAAAATGCAGAAAAAGCACTGCAAATTGGCAAGATGCGAAAGCGAAAGCTAGAGAAGAAATATGAATGTTACTTACGAGAGATTGGTTAAAATGGGCAGAAGATGTGGTCAGGATGCGATCCAGCCGAGACTTCGTTGCAGCAATTGCATTCTCTGCGGCAGTGACAATAGTCTGCTGCGCCTGCAGTGCCTGTTGCAGAGTATGGTCGATCCACGGCGCATCCTGTGCTAGGGTTTCCAATTTTTTCGGGGAGTTGCCTTGCGGCGGAGGAAGTGGCGGTGCGGCGTTGCTAGGCGGCGCGATTGGATTATCTTCTGACGATTCGGCGACGATGGGCATTGTCAAACAGCAATGCGTTCTCTCCTATCCCACGGCCCTGTGGATAGGCAAGTGGTACGAGAATGGCGGGTCGGCCCAAGTATTATGGGTTTGGGTTTGATTTTAATAATTGGGTTTATGAGAAGGATGAAGTCTCACGTGTCATTAGAGGTGTTCTTTCTCTAATACGGTACTGAATCGAATCGAAATTTTAATAAACTTATTTTCTACCAAATACCAAACCATAATAAATCAATTTGGTATAGTTAATATCGAAAATATTTTGGTTTTGTATTCGGTAATATGGAAAAAACCAAAAAATTCATTTTATTTTCATCTATAGTTCACTTTTTTTATTTTTAATTTGTGTCACTAGCAATCTCATTCAAAATTTAAAAAAATAGAAATACTTTATACTTTTTAGATATAGTCAGTAATAAATTAATGGTGTCTGAATGAACTCAAAACTCTTTCTTATCTGATACATTAAACGTAGCAATTACTCCAAGAGGAAATAAGAGATGAGAAGGGAAGAAGAATATTGTATATGAAAGGGAGAGTAGAGTGAGAAGACCGTGCGACCAAAGAGAGGGGAGAGAAAGAAAGAATAGAGTCTGAGAGTAATATTCTTTGTTGATACCATGACGAATTTTCGGAAGATGCATACATATATAGATCTCAAGATCCTAAAACACTTCAAACTCTCAAAGGCAAGTAATTAAAATAAGAAGCTAATCAATAACCTAATAATAATAATACTCTCTAATAATAATTACTTATCATAAATAACAATAATAATAATACGCACTTTCATCATCTGTAACACACTAGCGTACAATATTTAACATGTCACGATGCAATCAAATTTCCCTCTTGATACCCCACCTCCACAACTCTCTTCATTTACATTAAAAAACACACTTCTAATTTCACATCAGTGCACATACATTCCCAAATCTGGACGAAATATTATTATGTGTATAATCACAAAGACTAAGAAATTTAGACATAAAAAATACAAAGTAGGTGTAACATATTTCAAAGCAATATTTTAAGGCGCAATATGTCATACTCTTATCACACTGTTGGTAATAACTCTTCATCAAATTTGAAAACAACTTCAAGGTCATGTATTAATTTTGAAAAATGCTAGGGGTACACCTTTGGCGTACCCCATATGTCCCCCGCCCCCTCCTTGTCCACATAAATTGGCAAGAAATTCAAAAAAATAAATAAATAAATAAAAATCATATAAAAATGGGTGGTGGAGAAGGGGTGGTGTATATTTGAGGTACACCTTTGGTGTATCCCTAGCATTGCTCATTAATTTTAAACAACAGGTATTCGATAGGTTTGGGAAAAAGGAGCCCAAGAGCTTGCGATTCAGACATATGCAAGTCAGGCTGTTAAGTGGACAACTAACCATAATTCACTCAATTAAATAATCTTGACAATGTTCCGTTCAACAACTCAAACTGCCAGGGTGATGGTCATGGCTGGGCTGAACTAATAAACTAGCAGAAATGTATAGGAAAGTGTTAACATAGGTGGAACCGGCGGAGCATCAGTCGGTCCATAGTGGACGAGATTTTGGAGAGGATGTAGATCCAAAGTACTAAACACCCCATGTGGAATGATATAAAGCATACTGTGTAAATTAGATAGCTGATTTGTTGGTGGTGGTGTGAGAAGGGAAGGAAACAATCGGGCCTTACTTGGTCATTTAATAAAAAGGGAAATAGAAAAGTGAACAACAAAAAAAACGGCGAGCTATGGGAGATACACTTTGGTCCAAAGAAGTAGTGCGAGGTGACTATCTGCATTATTTCATTTTGGGCCCACCACCATGCGAAAGTTCAAAAAAATATTAGGGAAAAAAAGTGACGGAAAGTGCACAACAAAGAAAAAGAAGACATTAAAAAATGCGCAAGGTGACCCTCATTTCTTTTGGGGTCCACCACTAATAAGTAGTCTTGTTACATGGCACCAAACACCATGGAGCAATAATTTATTTATTTGCACATGCCCTTTAGACTTATTCGGAGAGAAGACTGAGACATAGGCATGGTCTAGCATGCTGGTTACTACATTGGTCTTGCTCGGTATTATTGGAAAAAAAGAAGGAAGACATAGATATAAGCCCGGCCTGGCACGCTGGTTACTACACCGGTCTTGCTTAGTATTATTATAAAAAAAGAAGGAAGACATAGATAAAAGCCTGGCCTGGCACGTTGGTTACTACAGTAGTCTTGCTCAGTATAATAAAAAATAAAATGTGTGACACACGCCCGACTTGGGACGCTGGTAAAAATCATCATTGTTTAACTCCAGGCCAAGAATGATACATACATGTCTCGCACTTATTTTATCGTAAGTCTGAACCCAATCGAATTGGGTACACCAGTGTCACAACCGAGCTCACACCGGGGACGCCTGATTCGTCAAGCCTTTATATGAGGCACTTTAAAGACGGTCCCTACATGGCGTGACGATACCTGCATGAGTTAGCCGTGCCAACATCGGTCTTCGACAAAGCCGCTGCAACATACTTAATTCGTGTTAAGTAGCACTAATAACTTCGATATACTGATTTCGTTATACATTGTTTACATGATTCGTGCTAACATTGGTCTTAACGAAATAACTATTTGAGACACCATAGTTTCGTCGTACTAAGGCTATGTTCCGTTCAACTTATTTTTTTGATCTGATCTGATTTTTTGTAGTTCAAATCTGATCTTGTCTGATTTGATTAGATCTGATCTCATCGGATCTGATTAGATTAGATCTGATCTGATCTGATTGGATCTAATCTGATCTGATCTGATTGGATATGATCTGATTAATTATGATTTGATTTAAAATTCAAATCAATAATTTGATTTGAGTTTATAATAACGTTTGAAAATTGTAATGATAATTCATATTATAATATAATCAATATTTTTTATTTTATAATTATTTTTTAATAAAATAAAATTAGTTAATTTATATATTAGAATAATCATTCATATTTTAATGTAATAATATTTTTTATTTTATGATTATTGTTTGTAAAATAAGAATATTGATTTAATATTTTAATAATTAGTTCATACATACATTAGAATAAATATTTAATTTATATAAAATCAATACAGAGAAGAGATAGTTTTTTATTAAAATATCTCATCCTTATAAAAGATCAAAACTTTAGAAACTCAAATTACAGGTAGCAATAAAAATGTATTTTAAAAGTAGAATTAGATTGACATTGTCAATGTGTTTTAAAAATATTTTTTTCAACGTCTAATAATTAAGGATTAATTTCTCAGTTTTCTATTTAACTTGTTTCTAAAGTTTATTCTTTTTCATTTTTAGGAATAATAATAATAATAATAATAATAATAATAAGAACAACAATAACAACAACAACAACAACAATAATAATAATTCTTTATGGGATCTGATCTGATCTGGCCTGATCTGATTGGATCTGATTTTATTAGATTTGGTCTAATTTGATCTGATTTGTTCTGATCTGATCTGATCTTATTTGATCTGATCTGATATGGTCTAATTTGATTTTAATAAGAATAAGAAAAAATAAGAAAAATAAGTTGAACGGAACAGTGCCTAACTCCGGTCTCGTCAGAACTAAATAACTATTTGAAGCACCGTTGCTTCATCAAACTAATATCGCTCGTGTTACGATAGTTATCCGCGCGTATTTTAATCACCCTAACATCGAGCTCCTTGGGAAAAGATAATAATTATTTGAGCACGACATAGATTGGTAAAAAATGTTGTAAGTATTATTTTTTGTAGAAAGAACATTTGATTCAAGAAATTAGAGAATTAATGAAGACTTGGAGGACTAAGTAATATCAACCGGTCAAGAATGCAAAGTATGAAGACTGGAGATAGCACACGGAGGACTTATTTACTTTCTTAAGTTGATGATTCTCACAACTTAAAAAAGTGGATGACTTCTTGATGAGAAATAATACGTGACTCGACCCACATTTCAAATTATCTACGAATTGAAAAAAAATCGAACCGGTCCTATTTAATAAAAAGAAATAATAAGAAAATATTCCTCAAATTTGTCCCCTCATTCCCTATAAAAAGAGGGTTGACCCTTAATGTTGAGGGGGCCAATTTCACTCTCTCTCCTTTGCCCATATGTTTCTCTCTCTAGATCTATTGTATACTTTCTTCTTCAAAGAAACGTCAAGCTTCCATTAATGGCTTCCGAGCCTAAATTATGTACCGTGTACAACCCCCGATATCAATAAAAATCTTTCGTTGGCAAGGTACCGCCAAAAAAGACACGTAGTTTTCTCCTGATTGGGTTTCCATGTCAAAAATCTTGTGTTTATATTTTGGTGTATTTTGTTAGACTAGTTTATCGTTCTTGCCCAGCTAAAAACGATATCCCGGTCGAGATAATTTACACCATCAAATAATAACTAAGAATATTAATTTAGGATGGAAAGAGTAATATGTTCAAATAAATTTAATAAATCTTTTATTTGAATGTAGAATAAAAGTTAGGAATGTGATATGATACACCACTTGCAAACCAAATAAGTTAGAGATATACACAGACAATAATTATCTCCACATGCACAAACAATTATTGTCTGCGTGTCTTTGTACAAACTTAGTATGCAAATGGTGTATAGTAAATTTTTCACGTGTTGACCTGACATACTTATTAAGGAGTAGTTAAAAAAATATCAATTTTTTAAAAATTTACATGTTATAAACTTCATGAGCTTCTTTTCTTATTAAAAAAACAATGAAAAAAATAGATTAGTGATAAAATAGAAGGATATTATTAAAATTTATACTTTTTCCATCCTTAAATATTTGTCACACTTGTATTTCCGAGGTAAAATATCTAGTTTTTTCAATTCATTTTTTTTACATATTGGTATAGAAATAAAAAATAATATTTACATATCAAAAAACTACATAAAAAGTTTTTCGAAATAAGAGGTGTCAAGAATATTTTATTTTATCAAATAACTAATGAAAACATAGAAATAAACAAAAGTTTTCGCGAATGCTGAAAAAAAAACGTTGCAAATAATTTGGGATGGAGGGAATATTTAATAAATAGACCAAAAAAATTAAGAAGAATATTTTTGTACGAACCAAAAAAGAAAATGGTAAAAACATTGAACTAATTAGAAATTTAGAACTTTGGCACCAAAAGGAGTGTTAAATCAATTTGGAGGATCTTGTTTGCTCGAGGAGTATATAACCACGTGCACACCCCCAGGATAAGGGTTCCTAATCATTTCCAAACTCTTCATCCCCAGTGCGAGTCCGATCTCAAGAAACCTATACAAACCCCCAAGAAGCCAATTCGATCGCAAGTGTTCCCTCTTGCTCGCCAAATCCCTAAATTTGAAGAGAAACCCTAGCACAGTCTTTCGCGATGATTCCGATCGCTTCGACGTCTTCCTCTCAAATTCGGTATTTGCTGCAGAGCTTAAAGGATTCCGATCCCGAAACAGTGTTCCATTCGCTCATCCAGGTTTTCTTTTTTCTGTTAATTTATTCCCGTGTAGATATTAGGAACGTGCATGAATTCTGCAGTAGTCGTATGAACTCTTGTTGGTCAAGCTGTCTTTGAATTTATCTTCTGTTGAGATACTTGCACGTTATATAAGGTTTAAGCCTTGAAATCCTAAATTAATGAACGGTTTGTGCGTGCATTGCTAACTTCTGTAGTCGTATTGATTTAAGGCTATCCTGCTATCCATCATGATGCCCTACATATAGTGGGACATGGACTTGTGGGGTACTCTTCTTATTCTAATATATGTGAAATTCTGAATGGAAACTCACTTCTATCTGCTTAGGATATTGGCTATTTGAATAACTTAAATTATAGAATTCGATTATGATTACCCCTGGTTTGAAAGTTTTTTTTGCTTTTGTATTGGAGTCTACAAGAAGCTTTTCCAAGCATGATTTTTTGAAATTTAAAAAATGGACGAATGTAATGGACATGATTCATATGCATCAGCTAGCTGATATTGCTTCTATAACTACAGTTTGCAACATATGGATTTGAGGGGAGAGTACTGCTTCTTGAAAGCTGCTTCGATCATCTTGATATTTATGGGAAGGACCTGAAGAATGTGCGATTTGATGAAGTTGTTGCTTCAATTTTCAAGTTCATATTGGATAAACCTAATTTCAGTGCAGTTTTCTGTGTGGCTGTAAGAGGTCTTACAATTGACGAGGACTTTCTAGAAAATCTGTGTAGTGCATTACAGTTGTCAGTGTCGGAGAGAATTGAAGTTGGTCTCGCTCTATCGGATTCTGATAATGCTGATGTCAAAATGTGTGGTAAGCTCTTTCTAAATCACGACCTTTTAACAAACTTGTTCTTAGATCAATATTTGTGCAAACCTGAACATGACTGACCAGTTGGGTGCTGTTGTTTTTTGTGTTCTATGGAATGTATTTTTATATATATTTGCAGGGAGAAGCTACTGCATGCATCAAATTGAGGAATTATGTCTAAATAATCCGTCTTCAATTTCTGTGGAACAAATTCAGAGTATTCTATTGTTTCTTAATCAATCTGAAGGCCTTTCAAAACATGTAGATTTGTTTATTCACATGCTTTCTCTTGTTCGATCAAATGGGGGATCCCAATTCATTTTAGCTCCACTGCTTTCAGATGAGCACCATGAAACCAACAGCTGGAGGTATTGCTTGCTGAGATTGATCTCTCATCACGGTTATTATTATTATTATTATTATTATCATTATCATTATTATTATTATTATTATTATTATTACTTCTACTACTACTACTGATACGAGCATTAAATTTTTTGGTGCTTGTGATTCTGATAGAACTGATGGAAAATGATTCAGCTTGAGACCTCATGTATAAAGCTTCGTACTCATATGTTCATCACTTAATAATAATAAACAATTATGTACTCCATGTAAAATTATAATATGATGTGAATGCGCGTGTGTATCTGTAATAATTAGTGTATTTCCAACTCAGCTATAACTAGTGAATGATATTGCATCATTTTGTGTGCTGCAGGAACTTTGATGTTTTTAGTGATGACAGTGAAGATGATTTTGATTCACTTTTAATGGAGATGGAAAAGGAAATGAGCGTCGCTGATACAATGAAGGAGTTGGGCTGTGGATGTACGGCTACTGTGTTGCAATGCAAGGAAATCTTTTCTCATTTTTCACCACTGACAGAAATTACTGTCTCAAGGATAATTGGGATGATTATTCGCACCTATCCAGGTCTGGAGGATAATCTGAATATATTTTCAACTTTCCTAGCTGCTCTTGCAAGTACAAATGTGCACGATTTACCATCTCGGAGTTCTTGGGATCCTGATATACTCATTGATGCTATCAAGGATCTAGTGAGTTCACTTTTTGTGTCAACATATGCAGCACTTGTGTCATATTTTGCAATTTTTGTGTGTTTTCTTAGTTAATTATTGATTTTATCCAGGCTCCTGGGCTAAATTGGACAGTTGTCATGAAAAATCTTGATCATGATGGGTTCTATGTGCACAACGAAGCAGCATTTGCCTTTCTTATGTCCTTGTATAAATGTGCATGCCAGGCAAGTTGCATTTACTGTTCGTTTGAGTTGTTTGCAGCTGTGGCTTTTAGTACACATGTTGAGACATTTTGGTTTTTGAGTTTTTATTTGAGCTGTTTCTGTTGTTATGTACGATTACCGGTAAGGGCATTTTTATGAAGTGGGAGCATAGTGGGAAAGAAAAAAGTCCGTACTTTAAAGAAGTTGGAGGATATTTTTAGAACACAAAAAATGTAGTGAATCCAGAGCTTCAATTGGAGTAGCCATTTGTGTTTTCATTTGGCCTTAATTTTGTTAAAGCATATTAAATTTAGGGCATGCATGTTGGTTGTGAATACAGTTTGCAGATGCATAAATTTTGGTGTGGTTTGGGGGGGGGGGAGCTTTTGTCAGGAGTAACTTTAAGCATAATTTTTGGTTAGGGGGGAATTTTAGAGAGTGGTGGAAATGCTTTCATACATGCATAGATTTAAGAGATCTTAATGTGTGCTAGTTCCCTCCTCCACACCCACTTTAATTACTTAAATTAAGATGCCACATTTGTAGTTTAATTTGCATTTGTGGCTTAGGATCCCTTTCCTCTCCAAGGTGTCTGTGGCTCTATCTGGAAGAATTCTGAGGGGCAGCTATCATTTCTGAGTCATGCTGTCTTGGCTCCCCCTGAAGTATTTACCTTTGCACATTCAGAGAGGCAATTGGTATGTTTCTTTCAGTTTAGTATAGAGCATGCTCTTGTTTTTTTCGTTCTATTTCTAATTTACACCACGTTTGAACAGGCATATGTTGATGCTGTCAATGACAAGTTCCAGCTCGAGCATTCAAATCATGCATGGTTGTGTCTTGATCTTCTGGAAGTCTTGTGCCTGCTTGCTGAGAGGGGGCATGCCAGTGCTGTTCGATCTATTATTGAGTACCCTCTTAAGCACTGCCCTGAAGTCTTACTACTTGGAATGTCACACATTAATGTATTGTTCTTAAAAATACAGAGTACATTGAATTTAACGTTTTGAAGTTTTCCGTATTGATGCTGATAAACTAATCTTGCTATTTGGGTTGCAGACTGCATATAATCTCCTTCATCATGAAATTACTCCAACAGTTTTCCCTAGGATTTTAAAGAATCCCCGTGGGGTGGATATGATCTATTATTTATGGCATATTAATCCAAGCATTTTGGTGAGAGGTTTTATAGATGCTATAACAATTGATCCAGACAATATTAACAGAGTTTTGGAGGCCTGTCAAGAATTAAAGGTTTGCGTTATTTACAAAATGAGGTTCTTTAATTTTCTCATTCTTACTACGTATTTTCTAAATATTGAACTACACAAACGTCAACAATCTTGTGCCTAACATTCACGGTATATTTGGCCCGTTCTTATCTCTTCCCCTCTACACCTCGAAAAGAGAATATTGGATTCACTTATTGTTCAATGCAGATTCTTTCACCAGTAATGGATATGCTCCCTTCCAACATTGGCATAAGACTTGCTGCTCTATCTTCACATAAAGGACTGATAGATCTTGAGAAATGGTTGAGCACCCACTTAAGTACATTTAAGGATAAGTTTTATGAGGTAGGTTCTCGAAAGAAACTGAGTTGACCGTTTGGGTTCTGTGATATCTTTGATGCAATGTCTGAACCTTGATGATTGAGTTGAATTTTTCGTTGTTACTTTTAGGAATGCCTGAAGTTTCTGAAGGAGAGTCGAATTGGTTCTTATGATGACTCTGTTAATATTAACTGCTTTCATTCCCCTAATGCTCTTTCAAATATTTATCTTGAAGCTTCATCCGTCTTCATTAAGGTTTGGATTTAGCTGGCCTAATTAATTAACAATTTGTCCTTCAGTAATCAGTAATGTTCCTCTAATCTGTTGCCTGTTGTGTCCAGATTCTTCTGTCTCATACTGGGTTAATATCTTCTCATCACTTATCTGATGAATTGGAAAAGCTAAACATGGCATATATGAACTCTAACTCAAGGATCAAGACTGAAAGTTCTAATCCGTCAAATTCCGGTGCTTATGAGAATGGAATTGAAGCAGAAGTAAATTCATATTTCCAACAAATGTTTCACGAAAAACGATCAGTTGACTCAATTATTCAAATGCTCACTCGCTTTAAAGAATCCTCCGATAAAAGGTGTTCTACTTTATTCGCATTTTACTTGTTGATGTCATTATATTTTATTTGGTGGAATGATTATTTTTTATCACTAAATGATGGTTGTTAATCTCTAATTCTTCTTTTTCCATCCAGGGAAAAAGATGTTTTTGAGTTCATGACTGCCAACCTTTTTGAGGAATATAAATTTTTTTCGAAGTATCCAGAGAAACAGCTTACAATTGCAGCTGTTCTTATCGGTGAGGGTCTGCATTTCTTCTCGTAGGTTTTATCATATCCCATGCTGTTTCTCACGCACATATATGTGTGATACAATGCAGATGAGTTTTTTTCCAACCATGCTGTGTACAGTATTCTGTTTTTTATTTTATGTAATGAGACGGGTTGCAAAATTTACAAACTGATTGAATCGAGTTCATTGAGTTGAGATGGTTGTTAGTATCATGCCACTTCATGTTTGATAGTGTGACTTGTAACATCAACATGTAAGTCATTGAACATGAAAATTATTCTAAAATTTCAGGATCCCTTATCAAGCACCAGCTTGTTACTCATCTTACTCTTGGTATTGCCTTGCGGGCTGTCTTGGATGCTTTGCGAAAACCTGCTGATTCCAAAGTAAGTTTTACTACCTCCGTCCTAGTGTATTTGTCCAGTTTGACTTTTTCTGGACAAACTTTGAACTCCAATTACTTTCAATTAATATTGCATATTAGCATAATGAAATACAATTTTGAAAGTTCTCAATAAGATAAATCCAATAAAGTCATTTTTATGTTGAAATACATTACGATTTTTATTTAATTGAAGCTCAAAGTTTGTCGAGTTTGACTCAAAAAAGTCAAACTGGACAAATACACTGGGATGGAGGGAGTATTTTATTATTTTTTACTCCGTATTTTCTAAGATGGTCCAACTGTGTTTGTACTTCATATCATTGACGGCTTTCTACATGTAGATGTTTTCTTTTGGCATTAAGGCTTTGGATCAATTCAGAGAGCGATTGGTTGAGTGGCCACAATACTGCAATCACATACTGCTAATATCACATTTGCGTGCAAATCATTCGGATATTGTTGAGTACATTGAGCGGGCACTTGCAAGAATCTCCTCTACACATTCTGAGTCAGACATAAACAATAGTGGTGTGACTGATCAGATTCTGGGACATATCCAGCCTTCCACATCAATCATAGAGGTTAATGACCTATATTGTTTGTGTTGCTGTTTTCCTCATTTGGGTCTGGGTTCACCTGCACAATTGAATTTTTTAATGACACTTAAATATATGGTCATGAGGATGCTTTTCTCCATCTAATTTGATCACAACCTGTGTGTTCCAAAAGTTTATTTTGTTTAGAATGGAAGTTTAATATCTTTGATACAGGGCCCTTCTACATTGAATGGAGATACTAGCCTCCAAACAAGATCACATCTGCAATCTGTACTTTTACTTCCGTCAAGACAACAGAGTACTTTGGAGGAGAGGAAAATGACAACTGTTCCTGGGCACACAAAAGTTCTATCCTCCCCAAGCCAAAATGTGGTGGTTCCTTTAAGCGATACATCTAATATTCCAAAGGTATGCACTTAGTTATATACTCCTCTTGTCCCATTCTCCCATATTTAAGTTCCCACTTTGACTTACACGGAGTTCAAGAAAAGTTAAAATTGAGCGGTTGATTTCTGAAGATGAGAGAGAAATGATATGAAGCACACAATCCATTCATAACGGAATGATAATTTTATTGTTGGACGTCCAAAAAAGAAAATCAGGAACTTAAATACGAGACAGAGGGAGTATGTTTTATGGTATTAATGTAGAGTGCCTATTACAAATTTAATGTTATCATTTATCATTGCTAAATACAGCCACAGCCTGCTCTCAGTTCTGCACCGCACACCTTACCTACAGGCTTCACAGTGCAATCACGGGCAAACTCAACAAGTATTATAGTTGGCTACTTTAGATTTATTACTTTAGATTTGCGTTCCCCATCATGGCGGTTAGCTTCACAGAATCTGATGTTTAAGTTGAATCTTTAATACAGAGTTTGGATCTGCAATGAATATTGAAACACTTGTTGCTGCTGCTGAGAGGAGAGAAACGCCAATGGAAGTATGTGCTTTCCAATCAATGCCACCCTTTTGTTTTACTATGGATTACTTATACATACCCCGTGCAAAAGAATTATTGTCATTCTTGAGGCAATTTGTTTCACAAATTTATTTTCTCTAAGAATGTCATTGCTAAATGCTACTCCACTAACTTGATAATCAACATTTTTTTAATGTAAGATTTTTTTAGAAGACGCTTAACTGTCCGTATGGCTGCATTGACACTTCTACTATGCACTGCTATAAGTTGCATGTCTTGGTAGTCAAGTGTGTGTATGTCGTTTATGTCATGATTCATGACAGTGTGAAGTTCATTACCTGTTTTTGTTAGAATAGAGTTGCAGTGTATTATTGTCCAATGGCTTAAATTCTTCCATATGGTGGCATGGCGCTGCCATAGCCCACCACATACAGGCAAACTCCCAAAATTTCATTTGGTGGCTGGCAAAGTATAAACCAAGTACTTCAATCTTAGTGCTGCCATGACCATCACTTAACTACATGATGAGATGGAAATTGTTCATGTTCTTTAACATCTAAGCTTAAATATGCGTCCATTAATCTTATTACAGGAGCCGGCTTCAGAAGTGCAAGATAAAATATCATTCATCATTAATAACTTGGCTATTCAAAATGTTGACACAAAAGCCAAAGAAATTGCTGAAATTATCAAAGAGCAGCATTACCCCTGGTTTGCTCAGTATATGGTGATGAAACGGTTAGAAGTTTAACTCTATTTCTTTCATTTGTAAATTTGACCTTAGAATGTATTTGGATACCAGTACGTATTTACTTGGATAGTGGTTTGTAATTACATGGACTGTTGGGTAGTCTCAATGTAATTGTGTATGTTTCACTTCATGAGTGTTATTGTGTATTTATAGTGAATTTGTTTTTAGAGGAGATTGAAGCTCATAGTTACACCAAAGCTGACCCCCTCTAATTTGGATAGTGTAATTGAACGCGTTCAATTCGACCAATTATGCTCTGACTTTGTAATTACATGGATGACTGAACATGACAAAGAATGAAATTACACGCAATTACACCAAATCCCAACTACACGCTCACTTTCCAAACACGCTCTTAGAGTTTCTATATCCAATGGATCATTGCCAGCACATTAAATCTAACATTTTTTTGTTTTATTTGGTTTTTGGATTAAATGTCTACTCAGAGCCAGTATTGAGCAAAATTTTCATGACTTGTACTTGAAGTTTCTAGACAAGGTGAATTCAAAGGCCTTGTTCAAAGAAGTTGTCCAAGCAACCTATGAGAATTGCAAGGTTCGATGTCCTCTTTCCAGTCCTTCCATGCCACACTAATTGAAAAGTGAAGTATATGCTATTCTTATTTACTCCATATTTTTTCTTTTTTAACAGGTTCTTTTAGGATCAGATCTTATAAAGTCAAGTTCGGAGGAACGTTCATTGCTGAAAAATCTTGGAAGTTGGCTAGGGAAGATAACAATTGGCAGGAATCAAGTTTTACGTGCCAAGGAGATTGATCCCAAGTCTTTGATCATAGATGTTGTTTTCTCTTTATTCTGGAACAATATTTAACATTACATTTTGATTATCACTTTATCTGGATGCCTTTTAGTGTTTGACGTGCTAAATTATTTTTCTGTTGCAGGCTTATGTAAAAGGGCTAATGATTGCAGTTATTCCTTTCACCTCAAAGGTTTCTGCATTATACTTGTGATGTGTGCTTATTTCCCTTATGTGTGAAAGGGCTAATGATTGCATTATACCAATTGTCATTGCCTTCTGCAGATATTGGAACCATGTCAAAGCAGCCTAGCATACCAACCCCCTAATCCTTGGACCATGGGTATACTTGGATTACTTGCTGAGATTTACACAATGCCAAACTTAAAAATGAACCTCAAGTTTGATATAGAGGTATTTATATGTATGCTTTTCTTTTTATTCTGCATATATGCTGTCTTGGATCATCTTACTCTTAACTCTTTGTGTTTCTTTTTTATATTATATTTTATTTTTCCATTTCAGGTGCTGTTCAAAAACCTTGGTGTGGACTTGAAAAATGTAGTGCCAACCTCCCTACTTAAAGATAGGGTCAGAGAAGTGGAAGGAAATCCCGATTTCTCAATTAAAGATGTGGGCCACTCTTCTCAACGCCAGGTTGTTACAGATGCCAAACCAGGAATTATNAACTCTTTGTGTTTCTTTTTTATATTATATTTTATTTTTCCATTTCAGGTGCTGTTCAAAAACCTTGGTGTGGACTTGAAAAATGTAGTGCCAACCTCCCTACTTAAAGATAGGGTCAGAGAAGTGGAAGGAAATCCCGATTTCTCAATTAAAGATGTGGGCCACTCTTCTCAACGCCAGGTTGTTACAGATGCCAAACCAGGAATTATGCATACTCTTAATCAGGTTGAATTACCGACAGAGGTTAATTCATCTCATCCCAGTGGTCTTTCACGCATAATAACCCAGGTAAATGTTCTTTATCCATTATTTCACGTAATCAGTTATTATTACCACTAACTTCACACATGGTGCATCCAGTATCCTGCTTCACTTCATCTTCCGTCTCCAACACTTATGGAGGAAGAGAAGCTTGTAGCTTTAGTAACTGATCAGAATCAAATACCTTCTGGTCAGGGTCTTTTGCAAGGGCAGACACCATTTTCTGTTAGCCAGGTATTTGGCACTTGTGTTTGTGAACAAATTTTAAAAAAAAGATTTGTTTTGCTGTAAAACTAATTAGATCATTAATTTAATAATTAAAGTTAACTGTTGCTGCAGCTTTCTGCTCCCTCATCTAATATTGAGCCGCAGTACATCATCAACCCAAAACTTCGTGCTTTGGGCATACACTTGCCTTTTCAAAGGTGCAAAAATTTGTAGTGCAACATAAGCCGTTCATGAGACAACTTTGTTGATCTTTTTAGCTATTTTTGTTATTGTCTTTATTTTTTTGTTGCTTCAGTGTACTTCCCATCTCTATGGATAGAGCTATAAAGGAGATAGTTACTAGCATTGTGCACCGCAGTGTTTCTATAGCTACCCAAACAACAAAGGAACTTGTTTTGAAGGTTTTAAAACACAACCTTTCATTTAGCATTTCATTTACAAATATTACAACAGCTTCTTTTCTCTAAATGTACTTGACTTTCATAAATCGCTCTAATGCTCCCACCCTCTGTTTAATTTGTATTAAAATTATATTGAAAGGACTACGCCATGGAGTCAGATGAGACTCGAATACGTAATGCTGCACACCTGATGGTTGCTAGTTTAGCAGGAAGTCTAGCTCATGTGACATGCAAGGTAGATGGGACTTGATTTATTTTCTCATTTGTATTTTGAATGCTTTGAGGCCTTCAATCTTTTTTTTGTTTTGATAATCCCATAAAATATTAAAATTTTAATGTGTGTTCTTTTTTAAAATTACCCCTAGGAACCTTTACGTGGTTCAATATTGAGCCAGCTTCGGGGAATGCTCCAGGGATTAAGTATTACTAGTGAGTATCTTGAACAAGCTGTTCAACTAGTGACTAATGACAACCTTGACCTTGGTTGTGCATTGATTGAGCAAGCTGCAACGGACAAGGTAATGTAATCTTTTACTCTTTTTTTTTACTTGAAAATGTTGTCCTCATGATGTTGATGTGTTTATGCAAAAGTTGTTAAAACATTTTCTGTAATTTATGCAATGTTTTTATGCAAGAGTTGTTAAACCTTCTTTGCTAAGTGCATTGGTTTTGTGAGGTGTTAATTTCATAAGGCATTCTTCTGTCTCTTGTGCTTGTTTGCCTTAGGGTTTTGTTAGGTTTTAAATAGAACATGGTGCTATATATGAAAGAATATACGATATTACTTTCATCATTTGCTATGGCGTTATATATTCCATCCCTCCCAAAATGATGTTCTAAAAAAACAAAGTTTAAAAAAAGCGTTACTGACTTAAGTTGGTACGGAGTAATAAATTAATCATTTAAAATTTAAAAAATTAAGCTCTAAGTATTAATTAGGAAGATAAAGTCGAAAAAAATAACTTGGGAATAAACTAATTTTTAAAGCATTAACGAAAAGCACTCGAGCCGGGGGTATAAAACACTTACAAGTACAGGACTAGGCGAGCCAAGGCAAGGCTAAGGTGATGCCTAGGTAAGGAAAGGCGAGGCCAAGGCGACGCCTATGCGAGGAATGCAAAATAAGGCAAGGCGAGCTCTCATGGCGAGAGTAGAATGGCACCTGGATGCCTAGGCAACACTGTGATAACTATGCTTTTTATTAGATGCTAAAGTGACACTCCCTCCATTCTTATTTATCTATCTATTAAGGTTAATTCACGTTGATTACGAAGTTATTAATTTTGTTGATATGGCCAAGAATACCCCTATTAGCCTCATCTTTCACAACTAAATTACTCCTTCCACAGTACTATTCATTACTCCTTCAGTACTCCGTATACGCGACGGAGTATAGTGTTATTTAAAAACGTGGTGCATTATGATCTATGGCTCCTGATTTCCTTCTCTACCTACTCTTTTGTTTTCTTTCTTTGCCATGTCCTCCCTCCATTCCATTCCTTCATTAAAAAACCCCCTTTTCCAATTCCATTGAGTAATCAGTAAAACATACTTCCTCCATCTCAAAATAATATTTCAATGTGACTTTTTGGGATTAAAATTGAAAATATTTGACATTAAGTTTTGAAAATATACTAAATAGTATTATCAGTTTAATGTCATTTGATTTGTCTTGAAATGAAATTTTGCAATATCATATTTATATTACAAAAATTATTGTATAAATATATGTCAAAATGCCACATACAATGAAGATTGTGAAAAGTCAAATGTGAACATTATTTGGAGACAGAGGGAGTAAAAAAACTCCATCCTCCTCTAATTGAAGGAAGAGGAAGAGTCAAGAAACAAGGGGGAGACTAGTTTTCATTTCCAAGGTATGCATATTAATGGCGACCTGCCGACCTTATATATGTACCAATACATATGGCGCATGCATCTCCTTATACAAAGCAAAAGGCAGTAACATTGTTTTAGTACAAAGGGTAAATAGTCATTTCATAATACTTTATTGCATTAGATTCCGCAATGGTCAGTTGTTTGTGAACAAATGAAATTTTCTTAATAGACAGATAAAAGAGAACGGAGGGAGTTTTAAAGAACCAATAACTTGGTGTCGTGAATAGACAAGGTGTGGCAGAATGATATAGAGTCATAGAAGAACGGGAAAACAGAACAAGTGTAGTGAATTTAGGGGTAAATATACCACTCCATAGTATATGGGTTGAAGGGTATATCGGTACACTTACCTTTCTTCAACTCTTCACTTAGAGAGAATGGTGTGTATTTAGACTTTTACGCTAGTGTGACTAACGAGTTGCTACACCATTTTTGGCATACACTTTTTACTTGCTCATAATGAAAAGACACTTTTGCCTTCAACAACCTAAATATTTACCATCTCTTACTGAACCCAGAAGTGTGGGTGGGGATATTTAGTTAATTTTTCTTTCTCTCTTGATATCATGCCATTTTCACAATTGAGGATCTCTTTGGGATAGAGGGAGTATGACTAATATTGTATTGCTTCTCTATGCAGTGCATACATGCACCCTTCCCAGACCCTACTTTTTGTGGGAATGTAGGATTTCACTTGCTTGTTTTTGGAAATTCATTGCTTATGAGAATTGAACATTTGTTCAAAGGTTCAAATGGTCAACTTTAGAGTTTATCCTGGACATATTTTTTTTCTAGACGGATTTGCTTGGAAATCAATGATAGATGGACGGCACACTCTTATGTGTAGTAATCATGTTTCATTTTTTGCAGGCGATACAAACTATTGATGAAACCATTGCTCAACAGCTTACTATGAGGAAGCATAGAGAGGGACCTACATTCTTTGATTCCAGTGTCTATGCTCCAGGACATATGGGAGTTTTACCTGAATCTCTTCGCCCTAAACCTGGCCGTTTATCACATTCTCAACAACGGGTTTATGAGGCATGTACATCAACTTACACAAATTTTCTACCTTGCGAGACCAGTATCTATTAATGTCAATTCTCTTTGTACAGGACTTTGTTCGCCTGCCTCTACAAAATCAATCTGGGCAAAGCTCAAATGCTTTGCCTGTTGGTCCTTCTCCTTCACCAAGCGGCAGTTCTCTGTCTCGGGCTTATATGGCTGGCTCTTCACAGATGAACCCTGCAATTTACTCGACTGGCCTTGTTAATGCAGGAATTGCTTCTGTGCCACAGCCTTTGGATATTGGAACTGAAGATATAGACATTAACTCATCACACCTGCATAGGTGTTGTTTTTTCTAGAACTCTTCATTTCAAAATTTTATTGCTTATCTAGTTTTCTTTCTAAACTCTTTTTTATTGCTTTAATTGCTAATTTTACCTTTATCCGTTTTTCTAAATATTGTAGTGTTTCCTCTCCTATGATTGGGATGGGTGATTGTGGTTTTGAGAATGACACTGTTGTGCCATTCTGTCATGCATCTACTGGTGTACTGCAGCCAGTTGAACAGTCTAATGTTGTAAAGGTCTGTTAGCTTATCTCCGTATTTTATCTACGGCGATCCATGATTGTAGTTTTATAAAAAACACTGCTTCTAGCAGGAGTCAGGTCATTCTGTACAGCCAACAAATTCCACACCTGCCTCTGTGCGTTTAGGGAGCAGTATTTCAGAGCAACTATTGACCACAAGCGATGCACTGGATAAATATGAGATTGTTTTGGAGAAGGTTCAGTGTTCTTTTTTATGCAAAGAATGTGTCTCTGGATTGGACACACACATTTAACACGTTTGCCACTGCTTGCACCAACATTGGTTGTTAACTACTTTTAGATAATGAATGAATTAATTCTAAAATTCTTGCCACCAACCCCAACATAGTTGCTATTAAGGTGAAGGCCAAAGAAGAAGAATTTGAGTGTTCCTGGAAGTTGAGTAGTTGAGGTGATAACATAGGTGAAATTAGCATACTTTATTTCTATGGCACATTGGTACGGTTCTCTTTACTGTTAATCCTGTAAACACCCCTATCCTTCGGCCCCTCCCCCCCACTGCCGGTTGACGCCATCAGGCCCACTGCTCAATATTGGTGTTAACCTCTGCTCCGTCCCTCCTACTCGACTGACACCCTTATTCCTTTGCATCCTGACCCATCCTCGGCCTTGTGCCCAATGGGGGACTGTTGCGTCCCCAATATGGCTTGGTGTCATATTATGACATCAATTCCCAATGTCAAAGAATCAAGCTCTGGTTTATAATGATCAGCGTCTTTTACTTCATGTTTCTATCTAAAATTTTTGAATTTTATTTTAATTCAATATTTTATCTCATGCTTGAACTTGACTGACTTAAGAGCAGTAAGAATAGGTGTTTCTCTTAACAAAAGAGCACACGTTAATTGTTTTCTGATTTGACTATTATTTATTTTTATTGTCAATGGATTAAATGTAACATAATCATTTACGTGGTACCTCAGATTGAAAGTCTGGTGTCTTCTAATGCTAAAGAAGCAGAACTGCAGGTATCATATGTATTTTTTGCATGAATGATTTATAGTCGATAAAAACTGCTTAGGCTTTGTTTTCATAGAATCGAAGCTCTAATTTTTTTAAGCAGACCCTACTTTTATATTTGGGATGTCACACAATTTAATTATATGATTCTTTGTACAGGGTGTTATTGCTGAAGTTCCTGCAATAATTCTTAGATGCATTAATCGGGATGAGGCAGCCTTGGCAGTGGCTCAAAAGGTGTCGTATTCATCTGCTGCGTTGTAGATTTATTTGTTAGTACTTGCTACTGAGGATTACTTGTACTTTTTAGGTGTTCAAGAGATTGTATGAAAATGCGTCAAATAGTGTGCATGTCAATGCTCATCTTATGATTCTGATGGCTATTCATGATGTCAGCAAGCTCGTTGCTAAGGAGTTGACTAGCTGGGTATGTTGCTAAAATATCCTACTTGATTATTTATGTACAGATTGCATAGCTGTAAAAAGTAAATAAGGTTTATTTGTCGAGCCAAAACTTAAGAAAATCGCCTTGTGTCTAGTACTTCACCTGTCCATAGAAAAGCTTATGCGTGACCTGTCAAATATTCTCTGTCCCACAATGAACTGTATTGTCTGACAGAGTGTAAAAGAAATGATAAAAATTGAAAACTGTGTGGGGGAATTTGTTTTAAAGAGGGGTTTTGTGGGCCACTTAAATCTTACCATTAATTGAAAAAGTAGAAATATGAAGTTTTTTGGGACAACCAAATAAGGGAAATGTGAAGTTTTCTATGGGAGGGAGAGAATAATATGCAACAGGGAGAGAGTATGTACGGTTGGACAAAAACACTCTAAAGTAAGAAATTGGCCTATATATACATTTACAAACTAGATTACGATGATGGATTGAATTAATTTTTAATTCAATTTATTTAAGTAACAACAACCTAGTTGAATCCCACGAGAGTAGGGTCTAGGGAGGGTCTGTGTACGCAGGCTTCAGCCCTACTTGAAAGGAGAGAAGCTATTCCAAGACACCCCAACTCGAGTAGTCGAGTATCAACATGAGTAGAGAGGCTGTTCTAGAGATCACAAAATGCACATAAACATGGAGCATGAGAGAAGAAAAGAGCAATCTAAGCTTAAGTAGAGAAAAATGCAACAAGCAGAGTGCAAGTGTAAAAACCACCACCAAACCCAAAAACATCTACGCAACTACCTTTATCCTTGCTCTCAAGATGCTCCTATCTAAGGTTATCATCCGTAGGGGCCAGATGTCCCTAAGTCTTGTCTAATTTCTTGTTTCCAATTCTTCTTAGGTCTACCCCTACCCCTATCTCCACCCACCACCATATACTTCTCACATCTTCGCACTAGGGCCTTAGCACTTTGTCACCTCACATGTCCAATCCACCTCAACCCAACTCCCCCCCCCCAGCTTATCCTCCACAGGTGCTACTCCTTTCGATTTTAACATTTTGCAGCTTTTTTTTTGTCATTCTCTTATTTGATGTTTCAATGATGTTCGCCCATATATTAGTATCGTGGGTATTCCATTTCTTGATTTATTGCCAAATTACCTTTGATCAGAGCTTCTCCAATGAAAGAGCTTAAAGCTAAAAATAGAGATTATAGCTACTGTTGTAGCATTTTTTGAACCTCAATGGGTAAACTATATTTTAGCCAGGCCTCTAAAATGCATGTTGCATCATCTATAGATGTTACTATTCACATCTATAAAATTAAACTATTAAAATATTTAGAAATTGTTTTCTTTTTTATGTATGGTTGCCTTTTTTTCTTTACTTTTATGGAGTTCAATTTTGAAATATAAATTATTAAAAAATAATAAAAATGTACAATATAGAAGTTATGGTTGGAGTAGATGTTAAAAAGTGGTAGCTAAAACATTCTTGGGAAGCTAAAATAACTTTTAGCTACCCAAATTATAGCTTCTCCTTTGGAGATGCTCTGATGTAATATTTGATAGGGAAAAACATTTGTAGTCCAGCCCCTCACAATACCTTTGCTGTCATCACTGAATTATAAAAATTTATTGGTTTAAATTTTATTTCTTTGCAGGTGATTTACTCTGGTGAGGAGCAGAAGTTCAACAAAGAAATTACTGTTGGTCTTATACAGAATGATCTACTTAACCTTGCCGATTACAGTGTTCATATGGCAAAAGTTCTTGATGCAGGAAGAAATAGTATGTGACCAATTTTTTTATGCTCTTTGTTTATGGTATTATTACTAATTGTCTGTTTGTGATTTTCAGAGCACGCAACTGAGTTTGCCATATCTCTCATACAAACATTAGCAATGAGTGAATCCAGAGTGATGCCTGAACTACAAAGTCTTGTGGATGCACTGGCAAAGGCATAGTTTTACTCGTATTTATTTTGTTTTTTCTTCTTTCTAGGTATAGCATTAGTCTTAGCTCTTAATGTAATCAATTTTGATTTTGTAACTTCTTTAGCTGGCCGCTAGATCTGGTTCTCCTGATTCTCTAAGGCATCTGATTGAGATAGTGAAAAACTCTTCTGTTAATACTGCTGCTTTGTCTGGTTTGATGAGTGGGAAGGAGGAAAGTACACAACAGTTAAAAGACAAAAAGGTTTTTATGGCTTATTGTTTAATGCTTACCTTGGTTAACATCTTTCCTTTTTTAAATACCATGTCAAAGCTCAAATGCAAGTTTGTTTTTGGACAGACTGTTTTGCTTCTTCCAGTGGGTAGAGATGACACTTACTCTGAATCTGTTGAGCCTGATCCTACTGCATTTCAGGAACAGGTATTCCACATACTGCTTGTAAATTTTGATGTATCATATATCTGTTTTGGTACTCCATAGTTATTGCCAAATTGTATCTAGACAGATTTGGTATTTATGGATGCTTCTTTTCTGGAGATATTTATAATACTCCCTCCGTCCGGAAATATTCTTCTCATTTGACTTTTCTTAGTCAAAGTTTGTAAACTTTGACTATGATATGTGGAAAAAATACATTGTATTACGATATAACTTTAATATGAATATATTCATTTTGAAATATAGTTTTCAAATATCAATTTTTTATAAAATATATCTATGTATAAATAAAGATATTTGTTATGACGGATGTAAGAAAGATAACAAACAATAAAGAGACGAAAGAACAAACACACACAGATTTAACGTGGTTCACCAACAATATGTTGGCTACGTCCACCTAACAGAAGAGAGGAGAGCTTTTACTGATTGAGGAGAGAGATTACAGAGGATTTTTCTAGGTGACTGATCTATATATGAATGCCTTACAAATGAACATATTTATAGGAATGATGGCAGCCAACTTGGCTGCCTAAATCCAGTGGGATCTGAGCTCTTGACTGCCCAGAATACTGCTGTCATACATCTGGCCCACCTCACCAACTAGCAACCCACTTGCCCAATTGTCTAGATCTCCTTCCAGCTACGTTCCAGCCAGTTTGCAGCCACTTTCCAGCTGGTTTCCAGCCACTTTCCAGCCAGGTGCAGCCATTGTTGACTAGTCAAATATGTTAGAATTCAAGGCATTCCAACAAATCTCCACCTTGACTTGAATTCTCTCACAAATTACCAGATGCACCTCCTTGGTGCCATATGTATCCGCTCTCTTCTCTTCTGCCATTTAACAGCTTGTGATATTTTGCAAGTCCAAACAATGTTGGAACTTGCTCTGTGGAACTGGCTTAGTGAACATGTCGGCAGGATTGTCAGCTGTGCCCACTTTTTTCACCCTGATTCTTTTCTCACTTCTCAGAAAATGATACCTGATATCAATGTGCTTAGTCCTTTCATGATGAACTTGATCCTTGGCTAAGCATATTGCACTCAAACTGTCGCAATACACTATAGCCTGATCTTGATGTAGACCAAGATCATTGACGAGTCCTTTTAACCAAATTCCCTCCTTGGCCGCTTCTGTCAACGCCATGTACTCTGCCTCCGTAGTAGACAAAGTCACTATAGCTTGTAGAGTTGCCTTCCAACTCACCACAGAATCACCAAGAGTGATAACATAACCAGTCATGGATCTCCTACTGTCCATATCCCCGGCATAATCAGAATATGAGTAGCCGGTTACCAAACACCGTGTATCACTCCCATAAATGAGACCAGCATCTGAGGTACCTCTAAGATACCGAAAATTTCTTTTCACAGCCTGCCAGTGCTCCTTTTCTGGTTTAGCCATAAATCGACTAACAACACTAACAGCATATGCCAAATCTGGTCGTGTGCAGACCATAGCATACATCAGACTTCCTATTGCACTTGCATAAGGAACTCGAGACATGTACTCCTTTTCTTCCTCGGATTGATGCGCGTACATTACAAGCTTGTTGTTAGTAGCCATTGGAGTGTCTATAGGTTTAGCTGATGACATGCCGAACCTGGACAATATCTTCTTAATGTACCCTTCTTGTGACAAGAAAAGTTTCTTCTGATTTCTATCCCTATAGATTTCCATTCCCAAAATTTTTCGAGCAGCACCCAAATCTTTCATTTCGAATTCTGAGAAGATCCTTCAGTTTCTGAATATCAGACTTGGCCCGAGCAGCAATCAACATATCATCTACATATAAGACTAGATAAATGCGAGAACCATCTTTCAACTTGTTGTAGTACACACAACAGTCAAAAGGACTCCTATTGTAGCTGAGTTGCATCATATAGCTGTCAAATCTCTTATACCACTGCCTTGGAGATTGCTTAAGCCCATATAAGGACTTTCTCAACTTGCACACATGATTCTCCTTTCCCGGAACTTGGAAACCATCTGGCTGAGTCATGTATATCTCCTCTTCTAACTCTCCATGTAGAAAAACAGTCTTCACGTCTAGTTGCTCAAGCTCCAAATCCTGATGTGCAACTATTGCTAGTAGCACCCTGATAGAAGTATGTCTGACCACCGGCGAGAATCTCGTTGTAGTCTACTCCCTCTATCTGATTGGACCCCCTTGCAACTACCCGTGCCTTATACTTAATACCCTCAGTCGGTGATATTCCTTCCATCTTTTTGAAAACCTATTTGCAAGTGATTATCTTTTTGAAAACCCATTTTCTGATTCTTGTGAAGAGACTCCATCTCGTCCCCCATTGCAGCCAACCAGCGTGCTGACTCAGTTCCTGAAATTGCTTCCTTGTAGGTGGACGGCTCAAGAAGCTCCACTTCCTTAGCAACATGCAATACATAGCCCACCATATCATCAAACCCATACCTCTTTGGAGGTCCAACTCCAACCCTTCTTGTTCGGTCAAACGCAATGCTATGCTGAAAACCTTCAGATGTTTAATTTTCTGGTGGTGTAGATTCTGGCAGATTAGTTTCTGGTTGTAGCGATTGATTACCGACCCATTTCTGTGCCTCGCTCTCCCCTTGAGTAACTTGCACCTCCACATGTCCATCAACAACTTTATTCTCTGCTACAATAATGGACTTCACCATAGGGTTGAACATAGAACTCTCATCAAAAATTACACTCCTACTAAGTATAACCCTATTCTCAGATGGAGACCAGATTCTATATCCCTTCACCCCTTCTCCATAGCCCATGAATACTCCCTTTTTAGCCCTTGGCTCTAGCTTACCTTCATTGACATGATAGTAAGCTGTACAGTCAAAAACTCTCAAATTTGAGTAATCAGCAGCTTCCCTGTCGATGCCTGTGTGTGGTCCCCGGTTTGTTATGTAACATGCCGTTGTAACTGCTTCTGCCCAGAAACGTCTAGTTAGACCAGCATTAGAGAGCATGCACCTCGCTCTCTCCAGAAGTGTCTGATTCATGCGCGCTCAGCTACACCATTCTGTTGTGGTGTATCCCTGACTGTGCGGTGTCGAGCAATTCCCTCATCCTTGCAAAACACATCGAACTCAGATGAGTAGAATTCTAGACCATTATCAGTTCGCAGCCTCTTGATCTTCTTCCCAGTTTGATTCTCCATTAGCGTCTTCCACTGCCTGAAGTTCTTGAACGCGTCACTTTTATGCTTCATCATGATTACCCAAGTCATCCTTGAGTAATCATCGATTACCGACATAAAAAATTTGTGACCGCCCAAAGACTCAACGCGAGACGGACCCCAACAGTCTGAGTGGATGTAATCCAGTGTTCCCTTTGTTCGGTGAACTGCCTTTGGAAACTTGCTGCGATGTAGCTTTCCAAAAACACAATGCTCACAGAACTCAAGGCTTTTGATCTTGTGACCACCAAGAAGATCTTCCTTTGACAGAATTTGCAGCCCTCTTTCACCCATGTGTCCAAGTCTCATATGCCATAACCTGTTCAAATCATCCTGGTGAACCACAGATGACGCAACAGCTATAGAACCAGTGTCTGTTGAACCTTGCAAAAAGTACAAAGTTCCCCGTGTATAGCTCCACTTCGTCATTAGTGGAACATGTCTGACTTCGTGCAATGTGCAGAATTTACCATCATGTGTCCGAATCTTGATCGAGCCTATTCCAACCTTCTTGCAGACTGAGCTGTTTGCCATAGACACATTTCCCCCGTCTATCTGCTCATAGGTTGAGAACCACTCTCTCCTTGGACATATATGGTTGGACGCCCCAGAGTCAAGGACCCACACATCAGCATGATGCGTGTGTTCGTCTGCAACCAAAGCAATGTCCTCTTCGGAATTGGTGCCATCTACTGCTACCGCAACAGTTCCTCCAGGTTTTTGCTCCAGTTGTTGCTTTCTCTTCTTCAGGCATTTATTCTTCCAATGCCCTTTCTCCTTGCAGTAGTTACATAAATCATTTGCTTTCGGACCCTTGGAACCTGGCTTCTTGAATTTCTTCTTGCCCGGTTGTCCATGTCCCTTGCTTCCACTGGCTATCAATCCATCGGCCTGATTGTCTGTTCCTGTGTTCCTGTACCAGTCGCCTTATGGCGCAACTCCCTGGTATGGAGAGACGACCTTACCTCTTCCAGAGACACGGTATCTTTCCCAACGATGAAAGATTGTACGAAATTCTCATACGACAATGGTAGTGAAACCAACAAAATTAAGGCAGCATCTTCATCCTCTACCTTAACATCAATACTACGCAACTCCAAAAGAATTGTATTTAATTGATCCAGATGGTCTCTAAGAGGGGTACCTTCCTGCATTCGGAGACCGAAGAGACGTTGCTTCAGAAGCAACTTGTTGGTTAAAGACTTCGTCATGTATAGACTTTCCAACTTCAACCATAGACCAGCGGCAGTTTCTTCATCTGCGACCTCAATGATGACATCATCTGCAAGACACAACATGATTGTCGAATGTGCCTTCTCCTCGAAAGCAGCCGACTCAACATCGTCAGCCCTAACGTCCTTTGATAATGGCGTCCACAAGCCTTGTTGCTTCAACAAAGCTCGCATCTTGATCTGCCATAGACTAAAACTATTCCTCCCTGTGAATTTGTCGATCTTTACGTTCAAAGCAGACATCTTTCTCACCAGATTACAAACCTCGATTACCCGAGCTC